CCCAATCACCCCCCTCCTCCTACTCCCCCACCCTCAACTCACCCCCACAGCTCACCCCACCTCAACTTCACCCCTCACCCCCCCATGTCCAGGCCCTGTGCCACATGTCAGGCAGACAGGAAGTGCTGAGTCACCGCAGGTCGGAGCTACAGAATAACCACACCCCCCAGCCCCCCGTTCCCCCGGCCCACCTTCACCAGGCGGCCTCCTCCTCCACAGCAGCAGCAGCGCCCTCCGCAGGTGCAGCAGGCCCCAGCACACGGCGGCCGCCAGGCCCGTGGAGACCAAGAGCTTGGCCACCAGGACGCACAGCTCCCACATCCCGCCGTGCCCGCAGTCGTCCGCCGGCCCGGCTCCCTGGGTATTTATAGCGCTGACGTCGCTGCCAGGGCAGGCCCAGTGAACAGTCCCGAGGAGCCCCGCCCTCCTGCTGCTTCCTGGAGGCTGACTGCTCACTCAGACGGCCCTTCGAGCCAGACCGGTCGGCAGGAGGCTCTTGACCTGGGTGACCTGAGAGAAGCCAGGGTATCGGCTTCAACCACCTGGCTGGGAACCTTGTTCCCCTCTCCCACAGACCATAGTGTGAAGTAGTGGCCCCTCTTCTCAGTTTTAAAAGTACTTCCACACACTTTTCTGCTTCCATTCTCTATGACAGGCTACGGTTTCCCAAAGTCCTCATGTTTCTGCCCTCCATCAGCATCTGTTACTGTTTAACAATGTACTGTACACCTATGAAGTTGCTGACATGAGTATTTGGACAGCAGCTCATTCATACACTTTGTTTCATGTCCTTTAATGCATCATTTTTAACAGTCTAGCAGCTGTCCACACACTCATACTGTGCTCATGTAATTATTCTAGGGTGACACAGTGGTTAGTAAGCATAGCTGGGACCCTGGGTTCAATTCCTGTGCTGCTGTCTGTGTGGAGTTTGTATGTTCTCCTCTAGTTTGTGTGGGTTTCTTCCAGGTGCTCCAGTTTTCTCCCATAGTTCAAAGACATGCTGGTGGGTTAATTGGTTAATTGGCCCTTGTGTGAGAGTGTGAGTGTAAGTGTGTCTGTGTACCTGGACTGGCATTCTGTCCACGGTGTACCCTGCCTTGCTCCCATTCCTTGCTGGGATAGGCTCTGGCTCTCCCGCAACCCTTTATTAGAATCAGCAGCTAGAAAATGGATGTTTTTTAACGATGTACTTTAACGAGGCCGCAGAACTGCACTTGGCATCAGTTGCTTCACAAAGTTCAGAGGTGCTCTCAGTGTGACGTAAAGATGGCAGTAATGCTAAAATAAGAGAAAACTTTACTCAAGTGGCTTTCCAGAGACTAGCTTGGGGGGGATCAATGGGTGCCATGATGTTGCTCCTGCAGCATGAGTAACTCATGCCCTCCTAACTGGGCCAGGAGAGGATTTGGACTGGAAACCCTTTGGCTATAGTCCCTGCGCCTTAACTACAGGGCCACAGGGACCAGTGATACTCCTCTCCTGCTCTCAGGGAGGCCCCACTGGTGTGTTATACAACATTCACATCCATGTTCATCCACTTCTTCCAATACAGGTTGCTATCCCAGCAAGCAACGGGCACAAGGCAGGGTACACTCTGGACGGGACGCCAGTTCATCACAGGGCTCTCAGAGATCCATAATGCCCTTTTCATGCCACCGCCCACTGGACTTCAATTATCTTACTTATTCTAGATTGACACCTTTTAGCTCTATGGATGCTGCTGTAATAGAAAGGAGATGCACACAGGTTAATTCTCTCTCTACTAATGTGGTTTATTCAACTCACAGTACATTCTACAGATGCAGACGTGTCACATCACATCAGTACAACATGTTTCAGAGATTCCTTTTAATGCCTTCTCTTAAAAATGATATATTGGTCCTAAAAATATAGAAAGGAATAAATTTAAAGTCACAAAAAACTGTACATTATTAAAAATTATTCACTAAACACCACATTTTGGTTATAGAAAAGTATGTCCCTTTTGTGTTAAAAGGAACCTTTTTTTTCATCTTTTCCTATTTTTTTTTATTTCGTCGCAGACCAGTAGAGACCAGTTTCACGTCAGTGTCAGAAACCGAAAGCTCAAGCACGTTCAAACACATCGGAACTTGGAAATAAAACCACTTCGATTTAGTTTTCTCAGAATTATTACCCCTCCCGAACCAAGCTCTTGCTAATTCAGTGCGAAGTTAATTTGTGGGTTTTGGAGGAACAGAAGATCAAAATCCAAAAAAGACGAATGAATAAATAAATAAATAGAAGGCTCTTAACACCCAAGAGCAGACTGAACTCAACGTTAAAAGAAACACTATTAAAACAAGAGCAGGCCGCAGTCGTCATAGAAACGGAAAACATGACGGCGGAGGAGAAGACACTGAAACTTCCTCGGCAGACGGCGTGCGGAGCTCCATCATGGAAGAACTGGCTCCTCCCCCTACCGAGAGGAGCCCCCGGATCGGTCGGGGTGAGCATGGACGTTCCGGGTTTGGGTACGGATTCGTTTCGCCCTCCAGCAAGACGCCAAGTGTGTAAAGGACGCAGACGTATCGTCAGCCCTGCTGCCCAGCTTTCCTCCCTTTCAAGAATCCGAGAGGCCGCTGGGGGGCGACCACCCTTAAGCAGCCTGCCAGCGGCAGCAGTGTCTGCGCTGGAGCCCCGAGCCCCCCCCAACCTTCCAATCGGCAATCCTCGCATCCACGTCCGCTGCTCTACGCTGCCCCCTGCAGGCCTTCCCGAAACAGGCAATATCAAAGCTACGGCTCCAGAGAAAGCAATAACCTGCCCGACCCCATGAGTACTTTGCAGAACAGGGTGCCCCCGCCCCCAAAACCCTCTCACGCCTACACCTGCCCACGCCACAGAAGTGACGGAATCGGACCCTCTCGCGCTCCGCTTCTCAGCGCCAGGAATTCGACCGAACCAAGAGAAACCGATGCTTCAACACCATCCGACACAAAAACCAACAACGGAGAAGAAGACGGGTCTCTGGCGCGTGGCGGGGAGGTGCCGGCCGAGCTGGTAAAGCTTTGCTACCGCGCAGGAGGCGACAGCGCCACCTGGACTCCCCTCCCCCCAGGGCCTTTCATACAAACCCCTGACCCTTTAGCACGAGGAACAGGGCAGCTTCTTTTAGGATGGGGAATGATCAACGAAGTAAAAACCTAGATGCACAACATCCTGAAATCTCTGCCTGGCCAAGGTTCTGAAGAACCTGGGCTTGGACACCAGAACCTCAACCCCCCCCCCGACGTGTCGAGCAGGACAGACGCCGTCTCTACCCACTAGCGTGATGACCTCCTAGGAGCTCTTCGACCCTACCGAGAGTCTGGGGTCTTCAGGCTCCAGGACTACCGTAAATAACCAGTACCTCCAGTACTGCAACCCGATCGTGCTTCCCTGAACGAGGACATCCCAATCCACGTTTCCCACTTCTCTCCTTACTCTCGGGACACACTCAAGGGAGAGTCCAAGGGGGAAAGGTCACTGGAAGAGTTTCACGCCACCGGGCGCACCCACGCTTTCAACGGGCAAACGCGCCCTCGAGGAAGACTAGTTCATTCGGGACAGCGCCGAATTTCATCAGTTCTGGTTGCCGGGCAGCGTGTTAGTGTTGCTGTGCCGCCAGAGTGGGAGGTGAGGGTCAGACGGAGGCAGAGCGGGGAGGAGAAGGGGGTATAAAGGGAAGCGAGGGGGTAGGTGCGTCTACAAGGAGGTCAGATTTTCTGAAAAACAGCCGCAGTGTCCAAACTGAACCAGCCAAGCTGGTTTCACAGCCACTCAAGGAAGGAGGATCCAGGAGGGTCCCTGACCAGCAACGTCCTGGGCCGTCCTGCTGATCAGCCCGAAGGAAGGGACACCCTCGCGGAGACCCCGTGTTCCCCGATCGCCGCCGAGTGGCCGTGGCCGCGGAGGAGAGGACCGCGTTCCCGGTGGCGTGCGGTGGGAGGGGGCCGTTCAAGCTCGCGATTCCCCTGACGAGATGCACGCCAAGAGGTCACCCCGACTCTGACATCCCCCCAACACCTTCTCGCTTTCACAGGGGGCGTGCTCCTCATCAGTAACGTTTACACCTGCCAGGATTTTATCTCTCCGGCTTCGCGAGGAGCTGTTATTTTTGGGCAAGCTCTGGGCCTGTACCACCCACGCAGAACAGGGTCGGTGATGTGGACAACGGCGGCCAGCGTCAGCCCTTTTTATGGGTCTCAGGAAGAACGTGAAACCAGGGAGTTTGTGAACTCCCCCAGGTGTTTCTGTAAAGACAAAGCACACCTGGCTAATTATCTTGGGAGTTCATAAAAGTCCTGGTTGCATGTGCTGCCTTGCTTTCACTAGACCTTCACTAGGAACTCAACTGAGTTCCTACTGCGCAACTCATCTGCTACAACTGATGGATAGTTAATGCCCTGACTGATTATAGTGCAGACAATCAGGAAAACAAGGTTAATGCTATTTAGCCCTCTCCCCACAATCATCAAGGCCTGAACGTCTTCTGAAATACACTAAAAAAACACTTAGCTCTCCGATTACAGAGCTAGAGAGGAATTTTATTCTGAAGTCTTCAGCAGCCCATCCATGTTGGATAAACCCCCCAGGGTACTGAACAAATCTGAACTGAGAAATCCTAACAACCCTGCCCTCAGACCCAGCTCTGGGCTTTCCTGAACTCTTACCCAGCTGGACCAACACCGAGTTAAAACCGGGGCTCAGTTTCTCACCTTTAACCAGTCCTGACCCTGGTTAAGATTGGATATTGGTGGTTTTAAGACACCGCAGGCCAGAACTGCAGAATAACCACACACCCCCACACACACACCCCAGAACTGTTAACAGCCGGACTGGGGATTCTCCTGCTGATCGGATCGGATCTGGCAGACGGATCAGGTCTGCAGCGAGCGTTCGCTCCAGTTGCCGTCAACCAAGTTTGAGGGCAAAAGAAAGATTTCAGTCGCCAAATCCCAACTTCCACCAAAAGCACAGGTCTGGATTCCCAAGATGCACAACTCCCTTTCAGCACCTTGTTCAAACAACGCCAACGACTCCTCTGCGAACCTAAAACGTCAAAGGGGTTCGAAACGATGGGCCCTCCTCGCGCCATTCCCAAAAATAAAAAGCAGCAACAAAAAAAAACAAAGAACCATCCTCCAATACCTAATAACAGTACTGTGTGTCTAGCAGCATGGCATTCTGGGAAGTTTGCTGTCCGACGGAACAGGACAGCCTTTGAAACAACAAGAGCAGAAATTTCATATTTTTCAGTTTTTTTCTTTTTTTACTGGCCATTTAATGCATTCCCTAGACATCACTAATATGTGCTCTGTACACAGTCACTATTAACCTATTGCTATGAAATAACCCCTGCTAACCTTTGACCTTTTATATATAGGTTTTAAAAAAAATAACAGACATCCAGTCATGGGACTGCTACATGACATTCTTCCGACAAAGGGATATTCCACACCCACTCTGGAGAAGGGAAGCGGTGGGCTGCCAGAGTCCCGGCGACGATGGGGGTGTCCCTGCTCAGGCTGGCCCAGCGCCGTCAGGCCCGCCCTGCCCAGGGACTGCCGCCCGGTCCGTCTGGGAACCACGCCCCCCGAGGGCAGAGGCCACAGAGCCCACTCCTGTGCGGAGCGTGGGCAGGGAGGCCAGGAGCGGGCGATCTGTGGCGCCGATTCCACGGCAACGGGACCTCGGCTCGACGTCTCACCCGAACGCAGCAAGGGAGGCGCGGCTCGGCAAATCCCGGGGGGACCGGGAAGCTCCCCCCGACCACGCCCTGCGCCCCAAGCCCCCAGCGCCGCCCCACTACCCAGAGCGCGGGGGGTTCGAACGCGGACTGGAGTTTCTCTGGGCCAGCACCCGGAAGAACGGCGGAGTGCGAGTCTACGACGGGCTCTCGCCCGCCTCCCTCTTCCTCCTCTTCCTCCTCCTCCCCCCCCCCACCCCACCAGCTCCCTGCGCACGGACCCCCCCACCTCGCAGAGGAGCAGGAGGCCAGCCGGGGCACGAGGGGGAGCCAGCAGGGCAGGGGAGCGGGAGGGGGCCCCAAGCTTCGACGTAGTCCTGAGAGAAGCTGGAGAGGGGAAGAGGGTGCAGGAGTGCCTTCCCTTCCTGCGGAGAGGTGCGCGTGAACAGGCCAGAACCAGGGGAGGGGTTTATAAAGACTGGAAAAACCACCTTCTATAGAAATATACATATATTCATATCTATATGTATATGCTGCAGGCCCCGCGGGGCTCCAGTAGCAGTAGTAGTAGTAATAGTAGTAGTAGTAGTGGGGAGAAAACCTCCAGCGTCCACGACAGGGTGGGGCTCCTGAGGGGCCCACCAGAGGGTCAGGCCTCAGCGCCCCCCAGCCCCCAGGGCCCCACCCCGCCTCTCGCCCGGCCTTCCTTCCTCCCTCCCTCCCAGGCGTCACTTGTCTTTGCCCTGGTAGAACTCGGCCCAGCGGCTCTCGAAGAACTTCCTCATGGAGTGCCCTGCCATGCCCACCTCCGACGTGTCCTCGTTGAACAGCTGGCAGTTGTCGAACACCAGCTGCGCGTCGGCGGCAAACTCCTCGCAGCTGCAGTACCTGCGGGTACGGGGGGAGGGGGAGTCAGATCACACTGGCCGGGCCACTGTCAAGAGCTCTGCTGCCCGATCTGCTGCCTCGGTAAAGTAAAAACTGCTCCGCCTTCCTACCAGTCAGCCACAAACCTACATTTGTTTCTTCAAACTAATGCTCTCCAAGCTCTGTTACAGGAGCTTGTATTGTAGTTATTTAAAGATCACGTTAATTTAGGCTCACAGTGTCTTTTAATTGCCTGATTGAAGCTGAGGCTGTGGTGAAAACTATTAGCCCCAGTCCCACCCTCGAGGCAGCAGGTTATACAACATCTGCAGCACAAAGCCTACCACAGTGGGTCAGACAAGCTCAATTAAGGCTCGACTGGACCAGCTGCACTCCTGCACTGCTGGAAAGCTGCCGCTGGAACTGTCTGGGGGAGCCCTGTCCCATTACCCTACCAAGTGCGAGACTCAACTTATTTACAACAGGGCATCCAGTCATGTCCCTGGGGGGCAGTGTATCTACAAGCTGTCATTCTAGCTTAGCTCTCACTGACCTAAATTATCACAAGGGACCAGGACTGGACAACCTGCAGACACACTGACCCCCCCAGGACCAGGCCTGGACACCCTGCAGACACACTGACCCCCCCAGGAGCAGGACTGGACACCCCCATGTAAAGCCTGTGTCATGTGATATCCACGGCAGCTCTCACCCTCCTTGCAGTAGCCTCTCCCGCATGGTGAGGAAGTCCATGGGATTCTTGATGATGCGGCGGTACCCTGGGACGAGCCGGGGGTTCACGGGCTCCAGGAAGGGCCAGGCATCACTGTGAGACTCCATCTCCATCAGGATGATCCTGCAGCACAGAACCCAGAGCCGATCACGTCACGCCCAGCCCAACGGCACCGGCGTTCTCGTACAACAGAGCACAAACCAGGAGACACAGGGGCCCCCCAGGGCCAGGGGTGGGAACGCCTGCTCTATACCAGGGCTCTGTGGGCACCTGGCGACGGCCAACTGGACAACGGAGGGGCGGGCACTCACTCGCAGTAGGTGAGGTCGGGCTGGTTGCGCGTGGCCATGCGCCTGCGTTTTGAGGGCGAGTGGCCGCTGTCCCCTGAGTAGCGGGAGTGTGCGTAGGAGGGCCCCTCCCTCCGCCGCGTCTGCATGCTCCCCCCGCCCCGCCTGGGGCTCTCGTCCTCCTCCGAGCTGCCGGAGCTGAACCAGCCGCCACCGCGGCGCTTCTGCCCCCGCGAGGGCTGCTTCCGTCGCCGCGGAGACTCGCCGTTCGCCTGGGGTAGAAGAGAGGAGGCGGGATTGTTGGGGTGAAATCGGATGAGGTACGGAGTCACAGAAGAGCCGAGGTGGCAGTCGGGACACAAGCCAGTTCTCAGGTGACTCCTGACCCTTTCAGACCCCTCCCCAAGGACTTAATTGAGCTAGTTAATGACTCGAGGGGTTTTACAGGCACCTTTCCAATTGGTGCCTCAGGAAGGCCCAAGCAGGTGTGGAGATCAGAGGCCAGGTGTGCTGACCCTTCTGTGAGGGGCCACGGAGATCCCCATTTTGACTTGGCTCAGGAGATTCAGATCTCCACGTCCCAGGAGTGTCGGTCTCAGCTCCAGGAGGACCCAAGCTCTCTGGGTTTCTTCTCCACCCAAGCTCTCGGTTACAGAGCGGGTCTCATTGACTACAAGGCGGCAACACTCCTCTAACCAGCCTCTGAGGGGTTAGGACTGTACCTCTAATGAAGTGAGTGTTTTTGGTCTCTACAGTGAAAGTGTCACACTCCATCCTGCGCTGGAGAAAGCAAAACAATCATCACGAGCCAAATGGCAGAGCCTCGGCTAAACCCTTCAATCAGCCGGCTGCCGTGACTACCTGCGCTGGAAGCAGATCTGTTCCACCTACGTGTGCCTGCCTGTTTTCCACACCTGCCTCAGCTGGAGCGGGCTATGTAAGATCAGTCTTTATGTCAACTTAGTCCTTTCCACAAACCTCGCTTTGAGGACACACTTGCCTGCACGCCTGGCTTGTCTGCTTCCCCTGCATGCGTGTTCTTCTTACTGATCTGGACGCCACTCTCACTCAGGTACAAATAGCAACCCTTACACAAAGACCTCAACTATCATCCTGTACACATCTACTTTACCTAAAGGCTCAGGTTGGGACGCAACCCATAAGCAACTGAGTGCTCCAGGAAGTGAGTCCGGGAGCCCAGCAACGCTTTTGCCCTGTGGGAAGTGGGTCCTCTCCGCACGGCTGTCTCACCTTGGAGATGCAGACGGGGCAAAACCAGTCCCCCTCAGGGATGGCAGTCATTTTGGGGCGCAGGCAGTACATGTGGCAGCCCCGGTCGCAGCCATCGCACAGCAGGAGGGACTCATCGTTGTCGCCCTTGCGGCACACCAGACACGTCTGTGGGAGAGGGGGAGAAAGAGGTGTTAGGGTCCTACGCCCCCTTTTCCACCAAGCTGCGGTTCCATGTCCCCATGGAAACAGGAACCACACAGGGAGCCGAGACGATGCCATATGCAGCAATCACCATGATGACGATGTTCGCCTCAACGGGGTGAAGAAGGATATTCTGATTGGGTCGGTTTAGTTTTTAGAACAAATTTTTACTGCCGCCTCCAAACACAAAAGCAGCACAAAAATAACATGTCTGCCCCCCGCTTCACGTTTCTACTGAAGGAACCCCCTGTGTGGGGGCTCTGTTGTAGCTGCAGGACAACAAAGCTTTGACCATGACAGCAGCAGCACCCCAAAACTCCACTGACCCCCCCCCGGCAGCTGGATCCTGGGAGGCCTAGACCTGTGTCAATCAGTGACGCCAGGGGAGGGAAGGAAGAGGCGCCCCAGTGCTACAGCCGGACCAGGCCAGCCTCCTGGCCGAGAGGCTCAGAGAGGAGTCCGCCAGCGAGAGCAGGAAATCCATCTGGGAAGATCCGGATCACTTCGACTGAGGACTTCGATCTGGCAAAGTAAACTAGAGCTAGAGAAAGCTAAAGAAAACGACCGTACTTCAGTTTTGTCTGTTCACGTCACTGGAAGGCCCCCATTGACCATTTTGCTCCAGTTAAGATTTTCGACGTTCCGGAGGGAATGCTGGGCTCTCCATGGTTTTCATTCCAATAGCCTCCAGCAGCCTCCCTGTGGCGCCACCCCACACACACAGCATGGGAGGAAGTGGGAGGAAGGACTGATGTGCCCCCCTTGTGGGGCAGACAGGGACCGGAGAACCACGGAAGAGGAGAAAAGGAACGCGAGAGAAGGGGAGCGGCGGGACGGAGAGAGCGGAAGACGAGGGCGGCTCACCACTTTGACGACGGAGCGCTCCCAGGCGATGGCCCTCTCCAGCTGCAGCAGGCACAGCGCCAGCTGGGCGGCGCTGCGGCACCGGTCCAGCGACTGCCTCCACAGCCGCAGCCTGGGGGTGATCTCGCTCTCCACGCTGCCAACGACAACACAGGGGGGCACCGCGGCGTCAGGCAAGCCCGCGCGGAGGGTACAGGCGCAAGCTCCCGCGTGCCCGTCCGCGTGACTGACCCGACCCAGGTGGGAGCTGCTTACTGGGCTCAGACACGGACCGCAGGCAGCAGCTCCCACGCCCACTCAGGACACCGTGGATAGGGTGGGGGTATAGGATTAGAGCCGACCAGAGGAGCAGCGGCACACAGAGAGCCCCGGCCAGCCAATCCCACTTGGGGAGTAGCAGTCACAGTCGGCTAAGTCATGTGTAACATGAGCCCCACCCTGCAGCCAGATCGTCCCACTACCCTCCTCGAGATGACCCCGCTGATGGGATATAATAATTCCTTACACTTGTATAGCAGCGCTTTTCTGGACACTCCACTCAAAAGAGAGAGCAGAGTGATGAAGCCAGCTTATAGATGGGGATTATTAGGAGGCCATGATTGGTAAAAGCCTGGGGGAAATCTGGTCAGGACACCAGGTAAAGATCCCTACTCTTTTCGAGAAAAGCCCTGGGATTTTTAATGACCACAGAGTCAGGATTTCGGTTTTACAGCTCATCTGACGATATAGGGCCTGTTTACAGTATAGTATCCCTGTCACTATACTGGGGCACTAGGACCCACACAGACCGCAGGGTGAGCACCCCCTGCTGCCCCACTAACACCGCTTCCAGGAGGTCTCCCATCCAGGTACTGACCAGGCTCACACCTGCTGAGCTGACTCCGCTGCGAGTTGGGGCGATATAGGATCTAGGGGGTACCCTTACCTCTCGACGTCCACCCTGGGCTCCTCCCCGGGCACGGGGACGGGGGGCGTCAGGGGCGCCAGCTTCTGCACCTCGCTGAGGTTCCAGAGCGGCTCCTTCAGGTACCGCCGCTCGATGTTGCGCTCCAGCGCCGCCAGCCGCAGGACCGCCACGTCCAGGGGGTTGGTGCCGAGCCGCAGGAAGTCCGACCACTCCTTCTTGGTCTTGATGATCCAGTCGTCCGCTGGGTCCACCTTGTGCTCGTGGTACTGCAGGTCCTCCCGGGTCGAGTCCAGTTCTGGTAAGGTCCAACCCTGAGGGCAGAGGCAGGAAAGGGGAATGGCGTGAGCTTCAGCTGGAAAACGGCGTCTTAACGGAGTGAAGCAGAGTGGTTTGTTAATCAATGAAA